TAATCAATACTATCATACCATTTACAGTGTGATCCAAACCCTTGCCAAAATGGCGGACAATGTACCGTGAAAGATGGAGGAACAAACTACACCTGTACTTGTGTTGGTCACACTGGAAGAAATTGTGAGATCAATATGGTAGGAATTTTAAAAAGTAAGTACTTTTATTATTATTAGCTTTTCATTAGTTTGCATTTTTTTATTTTCTGAAGTGCTCACCAAATCCCTGTAAAAATGGCGGCCAATGTACTGTAAAAGATGGAGGGACTAACTATTCTTGTTCCTGCCGCACGGATTACATTGGAATTAATTGTGAAACTAAGGTGATTATCTTTGTTATTCGTACAGGTTGGAGTTGATTTATTTTATCGTCGAACGTCAAGCAGTAATTATATTGCTTTTTTGTCTTTTTCAGAAAACCACCGGCTCCTCTTGGTCGAGCAGTGGTAGAAGAAGGCGCCGAGTGCTTGGATAACTACATATGTCAGTATGTAGATAAAAAAGATCGTAAAATTTAACATTTTTGGATCACACGCCAACGCATTATTAGCGATGAGCCTAAACAATGTCATTTAATCTAAAATCCTATTAATCAATATACAGCATATCCTAGGGAAAATAAAAATAAAATCACAATAAATCACAGAGGCAAACTCTCACGACACAGGAAGCCCAGCTCAACTGAGAAAAAACTTACAGATACAGTCGACAAACCCTTAGGGGCTTTTGGGGCTACATTCCCTTTCTCATAACAGAGTTCCTTTCTTTCATGCTCCTTGTACCTTGACTCAATTCGATGCTTTGCTTTTAACCACTTTCATAAGTGCCTACGATCGATGACAGTAATGTGAAAATATTCACACAGCTGTCAACCCTCCCGGATTAGCCGTGAGTCTCTAGAATTTGAGCCTCGTCTCCCTGTCTCCCGGATAAAGGTTGAAATCTCCCCGGGATAATCGTCAAACTTTAAAAAATATGGTCTTGTATTAATGTTTGATATACCCAAAATATTACCTCTTATCATCGAAAAAGCTACTTTTTGAATGATGACTACTTGTTACTTACGATTTTTAATTTTCTTTGTTCAATAAGAAATGTAGCTTTGCTTCCTGTCCAAGCCAGCTGATCTGAGAAAAAATGTTAGCCAATCAGAATCGAGAAAATTTGCAAAACTGAATTGTCACCCTTGGTAGCCTGGCTTTCAAAATGGCGGACTTACGTGCTCGACGGGGAAAAGTTTATCGTTTATTCTTCTTTGTCCTTGGGGTGATTTTCTGAAATCTCTTCGCTGGCTTTTGTGTATCTTGATCTTAAAAGGCCATTGAACATTTTGAATACAAAAAAGTCAGTGACCTCGRTACAGTCAAGACAGAAACACAGATAATATGAATAGATTTTTATTTTCAACACTTACAAATGTTTTATATTTTCGCCGGCTCGCGACGCGTCTGTCCACTGCTCACGCAAATATTTATGCATTTATAGCCCGAAAAAGTCAACAACAGTTATCGTAAGTCAACAACAGTTTATTTATGGATTAWCCTTATAGTTACATGTGAAGTTTACCCTCGCAGTTAGTCCAAGACTAGTCGAGGCGAGGGCGATAATGAAGGAGAAAAACTAGTATAAAAATGTCAAAAATCAGTCACAGTTTGAGTACGTATATTAGGAAATTATTCAATAAATATTAGGATAAATATAGATATAAAATGATGACAAAGGTGTTCCTCAGTATGAAGCCTTTAGCTCGTTAGTAATCTGATCGATATCTAAAAAATCGTCTGCTTTTTCTAAAATCTCGAGAGAGATGCTCTTAATCAGTGTCTTGAATTTGAACTTATTCAGACTTTTAATAGAAACAGGGAGACTATTCCAGATTTTAGAGCCCATAAAACGAAAAGAACGCCTACAAGATTCAGTCCTGACGCCATCAACGTAAATACATTTATTTGATGTTGATCGTGTCGTGTATCGATGGACATCTTCCAATGATCTGAATAAGCAGTTCAAATTGTCTGGGGCTTGACTGTTGAAAATATCATGCATCATAATGCATACCCGCTCAAAAAACATGAAGTTGATGGGAAGTGAGTGTATCTGTAGGAAAAATGGTACAGTGTGCTCCCGCGGGTTTGAGAAGTTGATTAATCTTAGCGCACGCTTTTGTAGAACAAGTACTCTTTTAAGGTGTGTTTTAGCAGCATTTCCCCAGCTACAGATTCCATAATTTACATAAGGGACTATCAAAGCTTTATAAATGCTAAACATTGTTTGGCGTGGTACAAAATGCCGCAGTTTAGCAATGATGCCAATCGATTTACGTATTTTTTGNAGCATGCTGTGACGTCATTATGCAATACAGCAATTATCTTTTAAAAGATTGCCCAGAATATGCATTCAAGAAATATCATAAAACAACTACACAAAATATTGAATAAAACAAGGCCTACCATGTCTCCATCATCCTTCGGAACAAGAACATTCATTTCTGATGATTTAGCAGAAACAATATCTGCAGTAACGGAGTCTTTGCTCAGATACACTTGACAGCCATCAGTCTTGTCAATGGAAATGGTTGGAACTTTTCCTGTTACCTGGAACAAGAAGTGGAATAAAAAAATGAAAATAGAGCCTTTGTGATACCTGCATGGTCACATGATCTACTGTTGTAATGTCAATGTTTGATAGCCTGCGTCACATCCGGTTTATAAAGCTAATGTTTGAAAATGTATGCTAAACAAAGATTCTCTCTACTTAGTTTGAGCTCAAAATCGCTTTATNGGAGCTGGGAAAATGTTAAAAATAACAATAATTTCATGACTAAGACATATAGTTCTAGACTCAACTGTAAAAATGTTATTAACTTAGGTAATGTGACCTTGGGGATGAGTTGCATGATACTGTAACTCAAAGAGGAATCAAATTCCTGGTATACTGTTTAATATTTTCAAAGTATAAAAAATCACAGATTAACTGCATTCACTCTATTAAATCACTKCATATCTTACCTGACATTGCACACTTTGACAGTTGACAAACTCACATGTCGATACAACGCTATCAAACACAACAGCACACTTCTTGCAGTTATCTACAGAAATGAAACAGATTATAAGCTTGAAGTATTAGAATAAGTGTTCCACAAACTTATATATAAAGCGTGGATTTCACTAGCGCATAAGCATAGCATAAGCACAAGCATGAGAATCATATGCGCCAGTGAGAACGGGCTCGACATAAGCATAAGACATTGAGCATGCACACGAGCGTGTTATTTCGGTACCAGGCTATGCTTATGCCTATGCAGTCCCGTTCTCACTGAGCATAAGTATGAGATAAGCATGAGATAAGCACAAGAAGATCAAGACTTGCTCGTTTTTGTGTGTGCTCATGCTTATGCTTATTTTGAGCCCGTTCTCACTGTCGCATATGACTCTCGTACTTCGTGCTTATGCCTATGCTTACGCGCTAGTGAAATCCACGCTTAANCTGATGAGAAAGTTGAGGAACTTCTCGCTCTAGAGACGTAGGATTCTTGAAATGAAGGTGGTGAATCTTATGTATATATACGACGTTTACGAAACATCAATTTACTGGCAACATGCTACTAATTAATGGCGCATTGCGGTTGACACTAACAATAATTTAAGCCAGTAAAAAATCAAACAATTGTAGAATTTCAGGGAAACTACATCAACTATCTTTCTGCCTTGCAGACTGTTTGTTCGCCACACCCTTGTCAAAATGGCGGACAATGTACCGTGAAAGATGGAGGAACAAACTACACCTGTACTTGTACTAATCACACTGGAAGAAATTGCGAAATCAATGTGGTATGTATAAAAGCAATAACCATAAAAATACGTTTTATAATAAAATCATTGCTAATTTATTCATATATTCAATGGGTATCAGTGTTCTCCAAATCCTTGTCAAAATGGAGGACGATGTAACGTAAAAGACGAGGGAAATAACTACACATGTACTTGCTTTAATCAATACTTTACTGGAAGGAATTGTGAGACCAACATACTGGTAGGAATGATCATAATAGTCATCTTGCAAAAAAAGGATATAATTATTCATTTGTATAGTATACTTTTACAAACAATCTACGAAATTGTTGATTTAAATGTGTTATTGATATTCAAGAAAGGCTTAATTTATTAATCAACTTATAAGAAAACATCCTTAACGTTCTCTTTTTAATAGTGCATGCCGAGTCCCTGTCAAAATGGTGGACAATGTTCCTTGAAAGATGGAGGAACAAACTACACCTGTACTTGTGTTGGTCACACTGGAAGGAACTGTGAAATCAATATGGTAGGCATAATATCGAAGAGATTTGTTGTATTTTGCTCTAATTAATCAATACAATCACGCCATTTCCAGTGTTCTCCAAACCCTTGCCAAAATGGCGGACAATGTACCGTGAAAGATGGAGGAACAAACTACACCTGTACTTGTGTTGGGCACACTGGAAGAAATTGTGAGATCAATATGGTAGGAATGTTAAAAAGTAAGTTCATTTATCATTATTAATTTTCATTAGTTTGCAATTTTTTTATTTCTTGAAGTGCTCACCAAATCCCTGTAAAAATGGCGGCCTATGTACTGTGAAAGATGGAGGGACTAACTATTCTTGTTCCTGCCGCACGGGTTACATTGGAATTAATTGTGAAATTAAGGTGATTATGTTTGCTATTCTTTCTGGCTAGAGCTTGATTTTATCGTCAAACGTCAAGCAAAAACTGTATTGCTTTTTTTTCCAGATACCCTCTTTGTCGACGAGCAGTCGTAGAAGAAGGCGCCGAGTGATTGGATAACGTGTCATTGACACTAGTGAAAAACGCACTGCGCATGTCCACAGCTTTCCCCCCAGTGAGCGCGCGCGTCTTGAAATCTGTAAACAGAGCGCCTGTAGAGCGCCTGCCGATTTACAGCTAAAACATAGAAAACACTACGAAAAACCTCATTTTCTCAAAATATAAATGACAAGATAAAAATAGAAACTACATAAAGAACCTATCATGAACAAAGATTGACNGCAGTCATTTTTGTCATGAAAACTATAGGCCTTGGTCAGAGCATACCACAACAAAGACAGAGTTTAATGTTTTGAGTTATATCAAGATAATCAGCATCAATATTTTTTTTTACAAACACTTGCTAGTAAATTATGTGGGGTATACGTCAGCAAACAATTCAACAGCGCATATTTTGAAAAAGACATCTCACCTAAAGTGATGGAGTTAACTTTTCCTTTAACCTGCAAAGTGCTTCCTTTACACATATACATGTAAATGGTCTGCTGCATTTGACCGTCGATAACTAGGTTACGGTTGTTTTCCTGGTAGTCCTAGGATTAAAAAAAAACAAATAATAATAACAAATAATTTAAAATAGAAGCTATATACAACAACAACAACAACAACAACAACAAAACAGTGAGATTCTTTGTTATATTTGCAGGTCTTTATAGCAGAAAAATTGTGTTTTGATTAATTGGTATTGAAGTTCATTTAGCAGATTTTTGTTATTCACAAAAAATTAGTCTTACTAATAAAACTTTACATTAAAATGTGAATCCCTGAAATATGTCTAGAATCATTATGTTAGAAGCATTTTAAGGACTCCAAATTTCTATAGAACTAACATAAAATAAAAAAAATTAATTTAATAATTTTCACAGTGTTCAAACCCAAAGATGAATTATTTATAATTTTTAAACATTTTGATAAATTAGTAAAAATAGCAAGACAATCCATACCACAATCCATTTCTTYCCTCCTTGGAGTTCAAACACAGGAGGTTTCTTGGCTGCAGGTTTGGGGGCAGCTGTAGGCTTGGCACCAGGAGTGGGTTTGCTGGGTACAACACTGCTCTGACGAAGTGAAGGGTTTTTGTGTGTCTTCATGTCGTCAGTGACCTTTCGTAAACCTGGAAAGACAGAACCAAAATAGAATTAGAGCAGGTAGAAAAACATAATGAACATTTTTGTTTTGCTTATCCTACAACTACAACTATTACATACACAAAAGACATTAAATTACACTACTACAATGCACTGAATAACGAAAATTACAAAYATCATAATAAACATTTGAATTTGGTGGATGTCATTCAAAGAAATATCATTCTATATAAATGTCAACAATGTTTTAGCAAGCATTTAGCTTTTTTTATCAAATTCATTAATAATTCATAAGGTAAACACAATGGAAAATCATTGCCGTGACCACATCTTAATATGAGCAAGAGATTTGTCCTGATTTGCATACGACTTTAACTTCGATTTTCTCTTACAATGATATTTTATCCTGAAGTTTTTTTTCGAAATGTGCTTTACCTTATACATGTTGGAATTTAATAAGCAAAATAAAGTATACGCGTCCGACCTTTATGGGCTATAAAACTACTCACTCGCAGCTCGCAGTTTTAAACATCCACAAAGGTCTCCCACTCATATTTTATACATTTAAGATACCTTATTTAGGAAATACATTCTTGTATTATTGCTTGTTTTGTTTAAAATTGTCCATAACCCACCCTTATGCCTGATAATAATTATTTTAATAATTAAAATAAGATTAAAATCTCACCAGATGAAATATTGTTTCCCGCTTTGTTGATTTGGCTGAACAAAGCAGAGGCTGCACCACTGTCTTGTTTGTCAGTAGAAGCTGGTCCTGAAGGAGGTACGACGGCAGGAGGGGGAGGTGGAGGGGGTGCTCCACCAGCCGGTGGGGGTGGTGCTGCTGCTGTCGGTGCAGGGGGACCCTGAAAAATGCATAAAACTGCATAAAAACTTTTATCAACAATCAATCCTTGTAATATATTAAGGATAGATTAAAATGCTACTAAGGTTTATATGGAAAAAATAAAAACAAAACTTTCACTTTTTTTATTTCACTGCTTGAGTGGCACACTCTTGATACATGTATGTCATAAGTAACCATGTTTCAATATTTACATTTATTCAGACTTATTTTGGACTTTTTACAATGTCAGGAGAGATATAAAGTCAACACAATAAGAGACAATACAASAACAACAAAAAACATGCAAAAGTTCTCAACTATTACATGTAKGACTATCTGTACTGGTCTTGATTTCACCATTTCTTGACCTGCAAAAGTAACAATAGGGTGCTATACTTTATTGTTGTTTGTACTTACACTAGGATTCCAGGAAAGACCRTTGCTGTGGTTGTCTTTAATGTATTGTATCAGGTCATCAGACATTGTCTTGACAGACTTTGCCCAGTCACAGTGCTTTGGATTACTGAAAACCATTGATAAATGCAATTATTATACTATTTTAATGTTTATCGATAGCTCAGTATAACATAATGGCTAAATAATTTCGGCAGAAAAAACTCATTGATCTGCCAATGGATTACCAGATGTTCCTGCCACTATTGAGATGCTGGTCAGACATTGCTCTATTTTTTGYGAGGCTGTAGAAAATGTAATCTATTTGTACATTTTGGTGAACACCACAAAGCCAAAAATTAATTTCCATGATGCTGTGGTTCGGACCTTGTGATTCCCTTCCCCCTCCCCCCCCCATCCTACTGCTGTTATATTTTTTATTAACCCTACTTTACAATCTATATAATGCTGTATAATGATGTTTGTAACTGTTTTTACCTTTGCTTGTTGTCTTTAATCACACGGTTGAGGTAAAACTGTGCAGAGTCTACTGTTTCCTTCACATATGTGGAACCTTTGACCTGTCAATCACACATAATAATCATT